AGAATAGACGGCGGCGGTAAGAGACCACAAGGCCAAACAGGAAAAAAAGAGAAAAAAACAGCAAAGAGCGACCGGTGTTTACCACCACCACGAAAAACACACGAGTGAGAGAGAGAAACGCCGCAGCCAAGCAGCCACCCAGCGTGCCTCCCTCACACCCCCGCCTACAACCCTCCGCTGCTCCCGCCTAACACACGTTGGCCAACCACCTAACACTCATCTCTGAGCCGTCCTTCTCCCCCCCCCACCGCCCACCACCGCTTACTCCCGGCACTCCCGACCGGTGCCCATTCTATGCCGCGACCACCCCTTTCCTGAATATTTCAGCACACACATAGTTGATCCCTGGTCACGTGACGTAAGCGCGGGAAGCTTCCAGTCTGACGTAAAAGCCGGAAGTAGAGCTTACACGGAAGCGTAAAACAGCGAACGTGAGGTGGTGGTGGGGTAAGCCGGGACGAGGCGCTCGGGAGCGGTCACGTGAGGATAAACCTGCTGATCACGTGACAGTAGGGAAACAGCAGCGGGTCATTGTCGTTGTTAGTAACCGGCGATGTTTGTTTTTTAGTCATCATCATTATCTCTCTCTCTCTCTCTCATTGGCACTCTCTCTCGCTCTTCCTCTTTCTTTATCTTGCTCTCTCTCCCTCCCTCTTCTCTCCGACTATATCTCTCTCACTGCCCCCTTATCTGTATAAATTTCTCTCATTTCGTTTAGTTACTTGATGTTTTTTATTAGACTTTCATTACTATAGCACATGACTCTAGTATATAGCTCTCTGCTATATATAGCTATCATATCTAAGAGCTGTCAATCACAACCACCGTTGGTGTAGCACTAATTTAAGGGCCGTAGATGGTGCCGTACTGCACCGACCATATTTACCTCCGCCCAACAGAGTTGGGGAGGAGGTTATGTTTTCGGTCTGGTGTGCGTGTGTTCGTGTGTTCGCGCGATCGATATTAGCGCGTCGAGACAGCGAGCCAGCCAGCCAGCGCAGCGAGCCAGCTCGTAACACATACATGTTACATGCTGGCGGAGGTATGCACTCTCCGTGAGTGCCCTCTGTCTAGTTCCCAGTGTAGCAGTAGGAGTGTGTGCGTGTGGTGAGGGCAGGGTATGTAAGTGACTTGGCCTGTAGCCAGTGAGTAGTAGTACGTAGTGACAAACGCCGTGTTGTTGGCACGTGCTGCTACCACTGGTCGCATCTGTGTAGTGCCGTGCGCATGCCACCTACCCTTCCCTCTTCTGCTATCCTTCTTGTTCTCACCTCTCTCTCTCTGTATATTATATATATATATATATATATATATATACATGTATATGATGTGTTTAGTTGTTATTGTAAATTATGCGAATCCAACAACGACGGCGGCGGATCGACCGTCCGCACCAATGCGGCCTTGCTCCCGTCTCACAGCTTCCGATTTCCTCCACCAGGTGGCGCCCCCATGGGCGGAGGTGGCACCGCGCCGGCCGGTGGCAGGTTCGGCAGCACCGGAACTCCCCGTCGCGGCCGCGGAGTCCTCAACCAGCCAACCGGGCGTGTTCCCGTCTGCTCCGCGTGCGGCGGTCCAATCAGGTAGCAGCGCGGTGGTCACGTGATCGTTTTGTGAGTTCGCCGCGATGTAGGGGTTCCTGCACGACGCCTTGCGTGCAGCAGTAGTTGAATTTCAATAGCGTCAAATTTGAATCAGTGTAGAGTGTAGTACCGTGTCATGATTCTCATTTAACGATATATCGTGCTCTGTATCTTGATGATGACTATATTAGGACACTATTATATCTTAACGGTTTTATCATGTGGACCATATCTTAACAATCTCTCTGTCTCTCTATCTTTCTGTCTCTCTTTCTCTCACTCACCCTCCCGCGCTCTCTCTTTCTCTCTCTTTCTAAACCTCCCTGTCTCTCTCTCAACCTCCCTCGCTCTCAGACTCTCTCTCACTCTCGCTCTCACCCTCTCTCTCACCCTCTCACCCTCTCTCACTCACCTTCTTTCTCTCTTTCTCTCTCGCCATGCAGGGGTCCGTTCATCGCAGCGATGGGTAAGACCTGGTGTCCGGAGCACTTCATCTTCTCTCTCACCCTCACCCCTCCCTCCCTCTCTCTCTCTCCCTCCCCCTCTCCCTCTCCCTCTCTCTCCCTCTCCCCCCCCCTTCTCTCTAACACTCACCCTCTCTCTCTCTCACCATGCAGGGGTCCGTTCATCGCAGCGATGGGTAAGACCTGGTGCCCGGAGCACTTCATCTGTGCGAACGCTCGCTGCCGCGCTCCGCTGCAGAACCAGGGCTTCGTCGAGGAGAACGGACAGCTGTACTGCGAGCGCGACTATGAACTGTACTTCGCGCCGCGATGCTCCAAGTGTTCCCGCGCCGTCGTCGGGGTGAGTGTCGCCGCCCGCAGCGCCCCGCCGGGGCTCTTTTTCGTTTCCGACGCGCCCTGTCGGGTCTCTTCCCGTCTCTGCGGTGTCCTTTCGAGTCTCTTCCTGTCACTGGGGTGTTCTTTCGAGTCTTTACCTGCTTATGGCGTGTCCTGTCGGGTCTCTCTGCATCTGACATGCACTACTGGTGCTATTCCTGTCTCTGGGATGTCCTGTCGGGTCTCTCCCTGTCTCCAACATGCCTTGTTTCATGTTTTATGTTTATCATATGTTAACCACTTGGTGCTCACGTGTCTACCACGTGTCTACCACGTGTCGCTCACGTGTTGATCACATGCCTATCACGTGTCTATCACGTGTTTTTTACGCGTGTTTTCAGGACTGTCTGAACGCGATGGACAGGCAATGGCATCCGGAGTGCTTCACCTGCACACACTGCCGCCGTCCCTTCGGCAACAACTCCTTCTACTTGGAGGACAGCATGCCCTACTGCGAGAAAGGTGGGCAACGCAGGGCAGGCACATAGGGAAGGGGTGTGCGACGGGTGCGCCCCCCCCCAGGCTGCGGAGGTTCTTTTTTGCGAAAAAAATCCATCTTGAAGTTTAAAAATTTGAGAAATGTCCACGTTTTGAGGTTTGCTTTTGGCTGCCTGTTTTCATATCATACTGCCTTCAAAACGCGCGAAATGCAGTCTAGCAACAACCTAATTTTCAAAATTTTCTGGGAGGGCATGCTCCCAGACCCCCCTAAAGACTGGCGCCCCCAGCACTCGTTAGGGGTATATACTTGTGGCAAAAAAAAACTGCCTACGGGCCTGCAGGGGGAGGGGGAGAAGGGGGAGGTCCAGGGGAGCACGTTCTGTCACGTACTGTCGTCAGACTAAAATGTCACGAGAAAATTTTCCACGATGCTTCATGTAATGTGCAAAGGTTTGCTGAGATTTTAGTATTGATGTTAGGTTATAATTATATATGTTTCTAACAATGGGACCCTAGAGTTCTGGCATGGAAGAAGGAAGTTTGATGAATGCGGGGCAGATGGAGGGTTTAGCTGCTATCAGATCTGTGTCAATGTTCTGTTGTTCGTGTTCGTATTGCTGTTGTTAATGTTCGAGTCAATGTTCCATTGCTTATGAACAAGACAACGTTCCATTGCTCGTGATCGAGGCAATGTTCGATTGTTCACGATCGAGTCAGCATTCAATAATCAATCAATCAATAATCGATGATTGGTGTTCCAGATTGGAATGAGCTGTTCACCACCAAGTGTGCTGGCTGCGGCTACTCCATAGAGGCTGGTGATCACTGGGTCGAGGCGCTTGGCAACAACTATCACTCCCAGTGCTTCAAGTGCTCCGTAAGTCACTATACACACGCACGCACGCACACACACACGCACGCACG